TCTGTTTAAAAAATAGTGTTCAGTACATTATCTTAATAAAAATATCTCTTCTAGAAGATGAAGCAGAAAACACAGTAATTTAGTTGTTATATTAGTAACTGCAGTTCAGAATAGTTGGGAATTGCAAGAAATTAAAAAGATGGGAAGTGTAAACGCATACACATTTTTATGAAATGTTACCAAAGAAAGGTAAAAAAGAAACTGAAAGACGACATGATATCCTAGTTAAGCTTATTTCTCTTGTAACAAGAGTTTTGGTCCTGATATTTCATAGAAACTATATAGTGCCATAAAGCTGTGCAAAGTAAATTTTAAATATTAACACGCTAGAAGTTGTAGTTTTTTGCTTAGAGATGAACTATGGAAGGCCAAATATTAAAGATAGTGGAGTCGCTTGTCCTGTTCTCTTGAAATTCCTTGGAAATCTCTGTGTATATACAGAAGGATTAGCTAGTAAAATCATCTGACTTCTACTGCCAGATATTTTTCCTGTAACTACTAAAAAATGAAACAAATAGAAAACATTCACTGTTGTGTAGTTTGGAAAACCAGTGTCCTAGGTACACAAATGGTTTCGTTAGTTAAACAACTCTTTAAAAAAAATGTGTTTGACGTAATGCTGAGCCAGTAAGAGTCTTACTGGATCGATGAATAGGATGGTAACAACTATAAGGCTCACCTAAAGCTTTTCTCTGCATCTAGACAGAATTAAATAATTGAAGTTGTAGTTGAACTCACTATAAATAGATACTTATTGTGATTTATACTTTTTTTACTGCTCATTATAACGTTTTCAGTGTATCAGATGTCCATATGTATTGCCTTTTTTTTTTCTTGCATTTTGAAGTTGAATAGAAAGAAAAAATATCCTTTACAAAGTTCAAAATAGTACAGGTGCTCCAGATAGCATATGACACTAGTATTGCAATATTATAAATATTGCACAAAATGGAAGTTCAGTTCCTCTACAAAACTTAAGAGAAATTTACTGATAGTCTTATAAAAAGTTCCAAATAATTAGAGGACAAGAAATAACATAAGACTTCCAGCACCAAGTTAAGAAATAAGACTTCCTTCTGACAAAATATTAAGATACAGTAGTAGTATTGGGTTCCCAGAAGTGGGAAGGTAATCTGACATACCTTATAGAAAATTTTGTCTTGTTCAGTTGAAGTATGAGACTTTGCTTTTATTTAAATTTAAAATGTTTTACAAATATAAACCTGAGGGTTTGTATTCCTCTTTGCTAGACAGCGCTGGGGGAAAAAAAATCTATGAATATTTTTCTGTTGTGGCTGGCATCTGGATGTATTTGCACTTGTTTCCCAAAGTGTTAATCTCCTCCACAGCATTTCAAGTATGTAATAAAACATAGACAGCTTCTCCATACAGTATATGGTACAAAGAGTGTGAGAAGTCAGCTGCTGAAGGGTTAGTCATGAGACATCTGTGTGATCACAGGAAGAGTGAGTAAATCCATTGAAGGATTGCTTAATGTGAATATTTAAAGGATTTTCCCACCTATGTTTTAAGATCCATAAAGTTCCTTTGTTTTTCAAAAGAGATAAAAAAAATGGTAATGGAAAAAAAGTTGGTGAAAATTTTGAAAAAATTCTATTAAAATCCCTTTCTGGGAGAGATGTTATGCCTACCAGAAAAATGTTCTTTACTATTAAAAAAAGAATGGTAAGGACAGCATTAGTTTGTTTAAATATATTTTATATATATATATATATTTAAACAACTCTTCCATGAAACTGTGACTGTTAGTAAGCTCAGTCTGAGGGCAATAGTAGGGTTTTTTTTCCTTGGTTAATGACTGGAATTGTTCTTTTCTGTAGCATTATACATTTTGGTGTTATCTACACTTTGTTTATCCTGCTGTGTGTAACTGGGTGATTTTGATGAGAATGTTTTCTGACTTCTGCCAGATGTCTCCAATTTATGGGGACAGTGAGCAATAACATCAAAGTATCTGCAAGCTACCTTAATCAGTGTTTTATCTGTGTAGGTTTCCAAAGAACCATACTCTTGACAAAGCTGAACTAGGATACAAGTTTGCATGTTGTTCATGATGCTGCTTTAACTCTAACATGTTTTCTATGTTCTCTTCCTCTGTAAGTGATTTACTGTGAAATTATAGTTTGATTTATAGATTTTCTTCTAGAACATAACTTTTTTTTTTTGTAATTGTTTATTTTGTTGTAATATAAAAAATGGAAAATACACTGTTTTGTTAAACTGAAACCTGATGATGTTTTTTAATGAAAACCTTTGCTCAAAGAAAGGATTTTTTTTCCTTTTTTTTGAAGATAAAAGTGTTTTTCTTAGCTCTGGTGGCAATTCTGTATCATATAATCTGCCTGAGTCTGTAGAGTTGAAAATTTTACTTGTGCCACTGAGATAGATTTCTGAAGAAAGGGGTGCAGAGATTCAGTGGTGTCTGTGAAGGTGACCTACCCTGACCCAAGCACATTGGTCTTGACCAAGCATTGGAATAGGTTGCCTAGAGAGATTTTGAAGTTAGTTTCCTCCCCTGGAGATATTCAAGAACCGTCTGGACATGATCCTGAGTAATGTGCTGTACGTGACCCTGCTTGACCAGGGAGGTTGGAGTACATGACCTCTGGTGGTCCCTTCCAATCTCAGCCATTCTGTGATTCTGTAATACTTGCAACAATTCGTTTTACTAAATGTGAGATTTAGTCTTTTTTAAGAGGTTAGTTTAGAGGGAAGTTATAGCTATTTAACTAATAGATTCTAGGATTATAACCCAGCATAGCTTCAGCTCAGTTCTTCAAATGATTACCAAGATTCCTCAGTTTCTTAACTTTTAATTGAATGAATTCTGTCTTGATTGGTTGCTCTATATTGAATTATAATGTGGTTGCTTCATGCATTGTTGACTGTTTGAGCTCAAGCTGAGCTTGAGCTGTTTGCTGTGAAATCTTCCATAGAATACCCATATTTAAAATGTTGCTTGAATGTTTTGGGAGATCTATACAGATTGGAACAGCTGCTGTCTATTCAGATAGATGCACAATATGGTAATTAGCTAGCTATATAATATTAATTATATCTGAAAATAGTTGCAGGCATTAAAAGAATTTCCTGCAGTTTAAAATGTAGCTGATAAACTTTATAATTTTATAGCAATATATTCACCCTACAATTTTTTATTTTTTTTTTTTTAATCAGCAGTGTACTTAAGAGTGGCCTGGATGTGGAAAACTAAATGGAACTCAAGGCAGTACTGTGTATATGTGGTCAGTTTTAGATATACACAAAAATTTCTGTATTAGAGCATTAGTTTCCTTCTCTTTTTCTCCTGTTTTACAGCTTCAGTAAATTAAATGAAGATGGTGCTTTACCTGATTATCTTTTTCAAAGGTATCATAAATTCTTCAGAATCATGCATGAGTACAGTGCACTAATACTGAGACTGTAGCTCAGTGGGTAGCAACTTTAACTTTCATGAATGATTAGTTTGCCTAGAGGATTAGGGTGTAAATTAAAAGGGTTTACTTGAAAAGATAATGATTTCATCTTTCTAACTCAGTTTGCAAATTTTTTGTTAAATATTTTAATAAATGTATTAGAAAGACTTACTAGTGTGACTCACACAGTAGGAGCCATGGCAGTAATTGTTGTCTTTGCAACAACAACAACAACAAAAAAAAATATATATATATATTTGATAAGTGCTTCTTACAATCCCTGCAGTAGAAATACTGCTTTATTCCAGGTACTCAGTAATGAGACTTGAAGTTAATGAATATTCTATAGCTTGTCATTAGGCACTTATGAAGTAGAATTAAAATCCTATTTTTAAATCATGGTTCTCAAACCAGTATTCATCTGCTAAGAGCCTCTGGTATTTCTCAGTGTGAGGTTGCCTGCAGATTACCTTGTCACTCTAGACATCAGGAAAGACTGGGGACTACCACTAGAAAACAAAAGGATTTCGCTGTGGGGAGGAGGGTCGTATCCTTTATAGCTTCCTATTTCCCTTTTTGTTTGCTTAACTTTCATGAAATGAATTCTACTTACACATATGTTTCTCAGACTGGTAGTAAATTTGAAGAGCCGTATTTCTGCTGTCCTCTTTTTAACCCTGTTACATGATTTATCTTCTAATATGCGCTGGTCATCTTTCTATGCTAAAAAGCCAGGATCCCAGCCGATTTGGGTTTTTTAGTTGGTTTGTTGGGGTTTTTTTAAAGTTGTAATTCTTATTTAGCATTCTAAAAAATCAGCTGACAAATGTGCTAATGAAAATTCAATTGTAGATTTTGTCTACATTAAAAGTGGGTATTATGAACATCTATAAAGTAATCCCTGTACTTTAGTTTTTCCACATTTGCACTAGTGTTAAACATGAAGAATTGTGTTGTTATTCAAAATATAAATGTTACTGAAACACACTGAGCACAGACTGTGATGCAAATGCCTCTCAGTGTTTTGAAGAAACAGCAAGAGCCTTTGCAGCTGCTCTTTTCTGGAAAACAAACAGTCTGCCTCACAACAGAAAGGGCCTTCAGAACTGAAATAAACAAGTACTGAAATAAACAAGTTTCTGTGTGATGTTTGGAAGATGTTTATGATAGCAGAAGAACCCAATCAGAGCAATACCAAAGTCCTGCTACATTAAATGACGGCCAGGCTTACATTTTCTGACTCATGGCATGGCGTAGGGTGCAATGAGTATTTGCAAACTCTTCTCTTGTCCCCTGGAATTTTTTATTTTTTTTTTGGTGGATTTTTGCAAAAGCAAATCGTTCTTGAAAATCTGATGTTTTCAGGAATTCAGCAAGCTAAAAACATCTGGTGCAGGGAAAATACGTTTTCTATAGCATGACCGTGGGTTTTGGTACTGTACTAGAACAGTTAAGTGTTTCTGCTGCCATTAACTACTGTTCATTTTGCTCAACACTTTGTATTCTGTAAGAGAAAAATAGCCCATGAAAGCTGTGCCTTTTGTTTTTTTTTCCATTTTGCAGAATGCTCCAATGAAGTGTGGGGATTTCCCATGTGTCAGTACTTGAAGGACAAAGGCTGGTGCTGTGGTCGCAATGCTAGAATGTCAGCATGCTTGGTATGATTTCTCTTCTTTTCTTTTTCCTACCGAGAGCTTTATCCAGATGTTACAGGATTCATTGTTTTTGGCTTCTAATCCTAAAGCCATGAGTTTAATCCAAGATTCTACAAAATAACATCATTAATGTTGTAAGCATGATGAATTAGTTCTAAAAAAATAGTATTGACCTTCCAGCTTTATATATTTTATACTTGCTGAAGGTATGAAAAAAAAGGAATATTGACAGAAATGTTTTTTAAGAGGGAACAGAAGGGCCAAACCTTTGTTGAAACCTAAACAAGGTAAACCCTCAGGGTAATAGTTCCTGGTCAAGGACTTAGGGGGAGCAAGATAATTGTAGAAGGGTTGCAATCAGTAACTCCCCCAACACCTTCATGATTCATAATATTGAATGTTCTGACTGTATAAAACCCAGACAAACCTGCCTATTCCAAAAACTAGAAGAGCTCTAAAATCCGTGTGGCTTAAGAGACTGGAAACATCTTTTTAATATTGCACCAAGAGACAAAGTGCTTTTAAAGACATAACCTCGTCAAGACAGTATGATAAACTGTTGTCTAATTTGAAAAAACAGATAAGTACTGAACATTTCAACCACTGTTTCAGTTAGAAGCCCACTATTCCTTTCTGCTATTAATTTTTGATTTCTGGTATCAAGGTGAATCACATCAGTTCCTGGCTATCTTTCGCTGCTAGCTCTGTGCCTCTGTTACAGAGAGCAGTGTAGAAAAAAGACAATTTAGGCTAATGCATAAGGTTATGTAAACTTGAACTAACATGATAGTTAAATGCTATCAGGAGAAAGGATAGGAGGACAGTTGTTTAGTATTCATAAGGCTTAAATGTGTTACTCTTGGCAAGGTACAAGAAAAAAAAATGTTCATTTTAGAGATGTTACTGTAAAACCAATCATGAAAAGTACTTTGTAAAAGGGATTTGCATTTTCTCTTTTTGTTGTCAGTGTCATGCAATACCAGTTCTTCCTCAGCTGACACATTAGCCATTTCCTTTCCCATTCCATTTATTTTGGAAAGAAGTTTGGGCTGTTTTTCAACAATGGTAGGAAGATAAATTTTGTAAGAAAATGACCCCCAAGAGACAGTACCGATCGTGACATATATATCTAGATTTCACAGAAATCACAGAAATTTGGCAGTTTAAAACTTTTTTGTTTAAACATTCACAAAAGGCAAAGAGTTCTCCTGTGTCACTAGATACTTTTCCTATTATTTTATTTGTAATTCTCTATGCATTTTTCATTAGGATTTCACTAGGATTTTCCTTGTCTTCTAGGAGGTACAAGGGAAACAGTGCAGTGCAGCTAGGCACCCATCTTCCTAGGGGTAATGGCTAGCTAGGAGAAAATGAGTCTGCTGTGCAATGATCATTATTGCTGATGTTCATTATTACATGTCATTCAAACTGGTTAAAGTCCCAAAGGCCAAAGGTTCTGCATGAGAGTTTCAGTTTCAGACCCCTGCAGTATATATTAGAACCCACATCCATTTTCTAAGCAGCACCAGATATATGCTGGTATGAAAGTTACAGCTTATACAGCAAAAGTTAGACCTGAGAGTCAGCCAAAGCCACGAACAGAGGAACTGCAACTACTTGGACCGTGTTGAAGAACAGTCTGAAATAAAAGATCAATTCTAAAGCTGGAAGAAGAAGTGGGTGATTCAGACACAGACTTATTTACTGTAGTGGAGTTTGGGGACTAAAGGTGGCAATGAGCCGTAAATTGTTACGCAAATTTTGTTTGCCATCTAATATGTTGTAGTGTCAGATAATTTACTGAATTTTCGTCCTCGTTTCTAGTATGATCTTTAATACTCGGTTGAATTTTTTGTAAACACTGTATCTTTTCAAGTGTGGAAAAGTATTCCATGCTTTTAATTATTTGTCATTCTTTGTCACTATGGATCATAAAAATCAAATACTTTCACACCTGCATTAAAATTTATGATATGAAGAATCTAGTGAAAGATAGTTCACAGTATTTTAAACGGCAGTCTCCCTGAAGTTTTCATTTTCTCTACATATGGTAGTTCAGAACTTATATGAATACCAGGAACTAAAAGTATTTAAAGATATTTTACATTGAACTAATATTTACTTTAAAATAGCTGAATATACAAAGTGAATTATTTGTATGTTGGTATGAACAGACTCAAGAAAAATGCATTTCTTTTTAGCAGTTCCACAGAAAGTAATCCTCTGAAATTCTTTTACAATACTAAGAAAAACAAACAAATTTTGCGTGCATCTATTTCCATACAGTTGTCATTGCTTCTCCTATAAATAAACCAAAACAACAGGAGTGAGCTGATTATGAGTCCCTGAAGGTATTAACACGTTAAAGTGTGCAAGCTCATGTTATGTCACGCCATTAATCTTTTAAAATGTCATCTCCTCTGACTTTTACACAATGTGTTTATAAAATGTTCTGATAAAGAATAAACATATCAGTAATTTAATTCCTTTACTCTTAAAGGCTTTGGAGCGAGTTGCAGTTGGCCAAATGGTAAGTAATATTGTTTATTTTAGCCATTCTAAGATAAAATGTGCTTTTCCTCCTTGAACGCTCTTAATCCCTGGCCTTTTATTGAACTTCTGCATTTCTGGAATCTAAAAGACTAGCATATACTACATCGAATCCTGATAGATAGCATGTGTCACTGTGAAATCACATCTCAATTGCTGTGATTGTACTTAGTGAATCTGTTCTTCTGGCAAATAAGAGTTTAGAGAAAAAGCACAGCTTAAAACTTAAGGCATTAAACTACCCTTCCTACCTCCTTTCACTCTTTCAGCTCAGACATAAATTCGCTATAAATGTCCTTCTGATATCCCTGTTTTGGATCACTCTGTCCCAGTGTTTTATCAACTAATGTAAAAATAGAAATTGTTATGACAAAAGCTTGAACCCATTAGAAACATCATCATTCTCTTTTTTATCCTTGTATGTTTTTTCCCAGTGAACACCTTGAATTGTTGTGCAAGTTATCCTTTTGGGGGTGGTGGACACCAACAGTGCAAATATTTAAAAGCCAGGGCTGAGAGACCTCTTCTTTCCATATGTAAGCCCACTGACCCTAGTAAATACACTTTGCTGTGAATTTTTAATTGGGAAGCATTAACTGGTTTTATACAAACAGATCTCTCATACGCAAAGATATTAAGTTTCCAGTGTAATCTCTTTTTTATGAGCATTGTACTTTCTGCATGGTTCAAACTACAGTGTATGGTGATTCATCTAGGGATTACTCCTTTTGTCTTTAAAACAGCTTAGGTAAATTGTTATTTTCATTTTGCATAGTAGAATTTAGATCATGATCAGTACCTTTTCCCTCTGCCAACCTTTGAACTTTTACTTCAGAGTTTCAGGTTTTTTCTTCCATTCATGTTTTTGTTAGAATCTGACCCAAAACATAGTTTTAACTGGATGCAAGAACATGAGTAAATTGTCCTCTTCAACCTTTTATGACTGATTGTAAAGAATACAAGCCAATAAGTAGTCAAGGAAGTCAATACTGTTTTGTTACTCTGATCTTAATTTCAGTGCCAGTTTTAAATCCTTGCTGTGGTAAATTTTTTTTCAGCTGCCTACAGAATCATTGTTTTATCGAGCTGTTCTTCAGGTTATTATAGAAGAAAATTATGGTGTTACTAAAAGGTAAGAAGCTCTAAATTAAGAGAATATGAACCAAAGATCTGATTCTTTTTTTAACTCTATTATATAGAGAAAGTATTTATTAGAAAGCTGAAGGGTGTAAGAACCAGTCTTATAAGACTGTATATACATTGTGTTAGTAAACTGCGGAATAGTTTCATTCATCCTAAATCCATAGCACAGATGTATTGCCCTTCCTTTAGCCATTGCTGAATTAGGTCCTCTTTCGTAATGGACATGTGAATAAAACTTCACCAGAGAACTTGACAGCGAATTCACTAAAAAGTCAACCCAATCCTGGGCTACCCTTTTATGCAGAGGTTTTGGCAAATTTAGTAATTCAGAAGACAAAAAACCATTTCCATTTGTCCTGAGAAAAACTGCTTAAAGCTCAGTGGCCATTGCGGCTGTAAAGGGCTACTTACACTGTCTACCCTGGCTCGTACTGTGCCCTTATAGGATGGGATTTGGAGAGCTGGTGCTGAGGGCCTGTCATCTGAACTATATACTCTTTTTCTGGAATTGTAGTTGGATTAGATTTTATCTAATTCTGTGGAATGTATATCCATTAGCACTTGGAGGACATTCAGAAGCACACCTTCCAGTTTAATTTAAATTGAAAATAACCCATTCTGGGGGCTCTGATCCTATCCCACAGTATGAATAAGGCATTAGAGGTGGGGAAAACCATAAAATTCATTTCAGAATTATATTCCTGATCTGAAATAAGTGCTAATGCAGATACCCCCCAAATCTTTTGCTAAATGTAGAGCCAGACAGCTTACCTTTCAGAAGGTCAAGCTCCTGAAAGAAGAAATGCTTTTTAATTTTAAAATTATGTAAAATATCATACATAAGATCATGGCTACTAAACTGCAAGGAAAAGAAGTGTGAGGTAGATCATAATATGTTTCTTTTGTTAAACGAAGTAACTTGGCAGAAGTAAATAAAATTACACTTTTAAAATAAAAGCAGTGACTACCTTGGAAAGACTCTCCCGGCTTTATTACTGGGCATAATGTTATATGGTGTAGAATATCCCTATGGTCCATTCACATCAGCTGTCCCAGCCATGTCCCCCAACATTTCTTATGCACCCCCAGCCTACTTCCTGGGGGGCAGAGGGAAAATCAGAAAAGTCTTTGATGCTGTGCAATCACTGTTTGTCAGTAGCTGAAATATTGGTGTGTTACCAGTGCTATTTTAGTCACAAATCCAAAGCACAGCACTATATGGGCTGTTGTGAAGTTAGGTCCATCCCAGACAGACCCAGTCAGTTTCTTTCTACCTAATCACAGTAGCTTGTGATTAGGAAGCATAAGCATATTCATAAACATGAACATAATGCATAAACAACATAATCATTAATTCATTTTCAGACTGCATCAGCCCAAATGTTTAGGTGCATCTGAATATTAAATATGACCACAGAAATGATTCTCAATGAGTGAGAGTCATTGCCAGCTAAACAGCATTAGAAATGCCACTGAATGAAGTCTTTCTGTTGTCCTCTTTAAATAAGGAGAAAGGCAGTTTACTAAGAATAGAGGATGAAAAGTTTTGAACTAAGATTTTTCTACACGGTTTTTCACTGGGGGGAGGGCAGTGTATTTATTCCTAAGTAACTGGGTAGCTGAAAATTCTATAGCTGAAAATTTAACTCTTGCACTGCACAGCTGGAAGAGGAATTACATTAGGACACAGTCAAGAAAGAGAATTCAGACTAACAGAAACTTTGTGCGTTGTTTCTCCAAAATATTTTAAACACAAAGAACAAATGTAAGTGTCCTGTTAGGATAAGGTCTTCCTTATTCATTTATTTATTAGTTTTCATGCATTTTTTTTAATATGCTTTCTGAAACAACTCTTATTTTTGGCTTCTTTCAAAAGCAGACATTGAGTTGTAAACAGGAGAAAATTTTGGCATCATTTACTGAAATAATTGCAAGGGTAAGAACACAAGGTAACAAGCAGAAGTGAATTTTTTCTCCAATTTGGCATTTGATCTTTCCAGTGGTTAACAGTAAATAAATGTCAGCATCACTAAAGTAAATTATAAAAGTATTATAGTAGTATAAAAGGAAATATATGTCAGCAAAAATAAGAATTTTATAGTTCATGTAGGGAAATAAAAATATGAGGTGAGAAATTAAACGCAACTTTCAACTAGCTAATGATAACCATACTATAGCTATAGTACAATTGCACAGTTGCTGTATCTAGAAACTTCTTCAAGTACTAGATGGCTTGTTTTCCTTTAAGTAGTAGAGTTAAAAGAAAAATTGTTACTAACTTGGCAGTAGTAGCCATCCATCTGACTTCTTTCTCCTCAATTAAAAATTAAGTTAAAAATGTGTCTGTTTCTGTTATTGAATGTGTAAAAGCCTGCATCTCAATGCTGTTTTTGCAGTGATCGACATGTTGGAAAAACTTTCTCTAAATCATCTTCCTTCGTAGATTATGTCAGAAAGTCTCTGAAAAAGCTGAAGCTTGATGATTCAAAGGTGAGTCACTAAATAGAGACTGCATAAAATTCTTATATTCATGTAAGTCAGCACCACAATGCAGTGTTTAAGCCACTGAGTTGATTTAGTTTATATATTACTGTATAAATATATATTAATAGTAATATAGCCAATCCATACTTACATATTAAAAAGAAATGTATCAAAGTTGGGTATTTTTAATGTTGGGTTTGTTGTTTTTTTTAATAGACTTCCATGTATAAATTTCTTTAAAGATTTTGTTTTCAAATTGATAGATTCTAATGTCTTTATATACAACCAATCCTTTTTTATACATGGTGCTCATGATCGGAATTTTTTTAAGCCTTTCTGATATTTCTGAAGTTAGTCCTACAAATCTCCTTCGAGGCAAAAAAAAAAAATCAATACATGCTCTATTTTATACATGCTGTCATTTAGAGGTAAGTATACTTTTCAGATGCCAAGTGAAGGAGACACGAAGAGCTTCTTGCTTGCGCCATTACTATACATCCTGATAAAAGTAATTCTTATACTCTTTTAAATCCAGTTGAAATACTGTTCTATACAAACACGTTGCTTTTTTGTCTGTACTTAAGTTTAAACTGCATGTGATCCAAAAAAAGATGAATAATGAATCACATAGTAAACACTTTGACCCCTTCTTATTTGCATTTTTTTTCTGCAGCAATATTATCTTGAACCCCTTGGACACTTTGAAACTGGAAAATGTAACATTATAGCAAGATAGGCAATTCCATCCAAGCAGTATGTTTCTCTTACAATTTAGTTCCCAAAGTATTTCCAATTTACTTTACCCTTTAGACAGTCTCCTTAAATAGATCTCTTTTGAAGATCTTTGAAGACCAAATACTATTTTTTCTTTAAATGAATAGATGTTAAGGATAAATACTAAGATTTTTAAAAACTTTCCTAGATAAAGAAGTACAAATATGAGATTTAAACTTATAAAATATTTTGGATTTTTTTTTATGTTCGTCTGTGTTTTATCTTAGTACTACAACTGCTAAATTGGTCAACAGATGGCAACATCACATCAGGCATGGAATATGACTGTGTGAAGATTACAACATTGTGACAACAAGTTGTGCAATAGAGACACTAGAGAGTATTAGACAGATTAACAAATTTAGTACAAATCAAAGAAAAAGTACTAGTGGCAAGTATGTAAATTATTTAAGGTAAATGTTGTTGTCATCTTTGGTAAAGCAATGCTTAAAATCTGTAGTCAAAATGCCAGATCACTTAAAATTTTCCAGGCACATCAAACCGTGAACTAGGGGGAAAATGCAAACCCAAATAAGCAAGTAAATGCAAATGACATTGGAATCATGTTTACAACGTTTAGAAAAATACTTATGCCTGATGTTTACTGGCTTTTAAAAAGATTATATTTAATTCTACTTGCAAATTGAGTTACCTCTTTGCTTTTCTGTATAAGCAGGACTAACATCATGCATTTACTGCAGCTGACAGTAAAATGGTGTCTTCCTCAGTATGCATACGATCACCCAAAAGCAATAGTCGGCTGTTTGTGCAATAATCAGTTTACTCAATCACTGATTAAACTCTGCTGGTAGAAAGTTATAAATTCTTTTCTTTAAAGCCAGTAAGCATAGAAACTTTGCGTCAGTATGTCTGATTTTAGACATGCTGCCTTTTGCTAGAAAGGGTCTGGACAAATGCAAAGTGCCCTTAGAGAAAGATGTCTGTCAACACTACTTCAAGCTGCACATGTTTGTGTGCTTGCTAAAGACCTGATTCAAGTAAATCCTCATTTTTACTTATATTTCTTCTCATTTTTCTGTACAGCTGGCTGCATACTGAAGACTGAATTTTATGCTAATATAAACAATATTATTTTTTATTTCCCATCTATGCTGAAATCTGCAGCAGCACAAAACCAGTGCTATTTTGATACTACTGAGAGGAAAGTTGTTACTGCTCCCTCAACAGTGGTTCTGACACTGCAGTTTTCATTTTCCAGCACTATATCTACACAATATTGGAGAATGCATTAAATTCCTCTCTTCAGAAAAAAAATACTTACATGGCTAAAAATGTGATGAAGCCTAAACATTTGCTCTCATAAACAACAAAAATTAAAGAGGAATTTACGCAGAATTTGTTTTCTAGCTCTGTTGTTAAAAATTAACAAAAAAAAACAGCTGTACTGCATAGACCAAATGTCTACTTTGTCTCCAGCAATGGCCAAAAAAAGATGCCTTGGGAAGCATATAAGGCAAGAGTAAGTGTATATGAAGGATACTTTGTGTTACACTGTGTAGCACAACCAGAGAACAATGAGGAAATATTATTTGCATTTGAGTCTGTGTTTTACATGTTGAAAAAGCATTTTCTAAAAACCAGAAGTCAGAAAACTGTGTCTCAGGTCTTTTACTATGCTTGTCAGAAAATTGAAGTGAGTTTAATCTCTACACAATAATAAATGTACTGGGAAGTAGAGGGGCAACGGCACTAGGTTTCTAGGAGTCACTGCCAGGGTTTGGTAGCTTGGCATGTATTGTAAAGTCATCGACGTTTTTGATCACTGTGGCTGGACTTTTGGGACATAAACATCCTTCCAGACTCATGGTTCATGAACATCACAGCTGTCTCCTTTTTATACCCTAGTGCCTCTGTAGCTCTGGTGCAATCATTTTCCAGTAATGATGTGTTCTTTAATCCTGCTGATTCTTCATATGAACAATCTTCTCTGCCTCTCTCACTTGTGAAATAGATGTGAAGATCTTTCTTTGCTTATTTGAAGTAAGACCCAGACCCTTTATGAAAAGATTAGCAATTGCAAGTGAGTTAGAATAGTACAATAGTTTTTCTACAAAAAAAAAAAACCTAGCATTTATCAGTCACCTAGAGCCATTCATTATTGCAACTTACTGTTCAGGGACTGACGTTTCTCATTACTTTAGCCAAAATAATCTCCTCTATTGTGTTTGTTTTCAGTGTGGAAGAGTCTGTCAAGTCCAGATGAAACACTGAGATACAAACGAACTATTTTTTCTGCCTTTTGGTACAGGACCATCCCTTTCACATTTCTCTCCACCTCAGTAGTAAAGCTGAGACATACACCATGACTACTGAATGTCTGACAAAATACTCCCGGTTTGTGAGGGCAGAGGGAGGTCTTTTAGTGTGAGTGTGATGCTTCACAGGTGTAGTTATATTGCTTCTAGCTTCAGAACAAATGGAATTGCTTTGTGGGCCATGAATTCCTGAACAGGGCTTCAGTAACTGGTCTGGATACATGCCGAGACAGTATTTTATTCCTGGTTGTTTATTTTGTCATAGTTCATTCTGTTCCTATACACTCCATGTTGTATGGGAAGAATGTTCAGTGTCACACTGATATGGGAGAAATTCTATAAGTAAAATTTCCCTTTCATTTAATGTTTCACCTAATTTAACATGAATGTGGGACTTTCACATCCCTTCTCCTTCTCCTAAGGGAGCTGGCCACTCCTACACTTGTGTTGATTCTTTCAATCAGCAAGAGCAGTTGCTCCTTCCTCTTCAGCAGAACATGTTTCAGCTCTTTGGCTTAAGTGCTACAAATGGCATTGCCACAGCAAAAAGTCCTTGTATAAGTATTTATGTATTTCTAGAGCATTTGAAGGGGAAAATAAAACAAAACAAAACAACAACAACAACAAAAAAAACTTTCTTAAATTTCTTGTACTTGGGTATATTAGCAAAAGATCTTTTACAGGGCCAGTTTTTAAGGTGATTAAAGGGAGAAGCTGCTTACAAGGCTAAGGCATGGCTGTATGTCTGGGAGCCTTAGTGATCTAGGATCCATTTCTGCTAGTAAGTGAGCCTCAGCGGGTGGAGCTGTTTAACAAAGAGAAGCTGGCCAGGATTCATGCAAAGTGCAATCTGGGAGTAAGGAGAGAATTCTATTTAATGCCGTGTCTGATTGCAGGAAGATAAACAGGGCTGGGAACACACCTGACACATCCACAAAGAAAAGTTATTAGGCACTTTGGTTCCATCTCCTGCTATATTCATACTATAGTTACTGCTGTGGGATAATAGCATATAAGATGGTTGCTTTGTCTTGGTCAAAATACTTCACAAATCACTTAACCCTTTGAGATGTAGACATATGCTAAAGACATACAATAGTAATTTCAGAGGTAGGGTCACCTTAGCTTTCACACACAAAAAAACGTTTATGTGCCTGTCAGCAAGTTGTTTTTTTCCGATTTACTTGGTTTTGCTCAACCAAGCTTCCAAGTCTGCTGTGACTGGTGTATTTCAGTTTTGAACAGTCTGGTGTCTGCACATAACTTGAAGTTGCTGGGGCTTTTCCCCAGGAAAAAGTCAATGATTTGGCATGTGCCCCGTCTAACAACCTGAGATGAGATCTGCAACAAGAAACAGATGCTCAGTTTCCACCATCCCTGTTTGCTCTACTCTGACCAGACTTCTTACAAATATGCTGCCCACGTGTTTTTTCCTGAGCTGTGCTTCAGGTAGAGCATCCCAAAAAGGCACAGCTGTCAGGTCTCAACTGGCTGTTTGGTGAAGGGCACTTTCCGTGAGACATTCTACCCATCACAGTAGTATTTACATTAATAGCATTAATAGCATAGAGAAACTCACATCCTGTGAAAAGCTCATTTATTGTCTTAAGTAATTTAAACAACTTTGATATTAGATACCTTATGCCTATCAATGTTAGACTCAAAATATTTCAAATCCTTGATGTAGCTATGTAGCTAAATTTTTATGTCATATAGTCCTGTGTATTCTGCAAAGAATTTAGAATTATATTTAATTGAATAAGCTTGTCAGTGCTTTCTTTCTCTACAATAACCAAAACTTCTAAGTTTGTTTAAATAAAAATTAATTTTATATAATTTTGTCTGATTTTTACAAGAATCTCTGAAAATATTGCTTATCATTAGTTTATAAAGTGATCCTTTTCCTATATTAGTTACACTTGCATTTTAAGGTAATTAATCATCCAAATATATCTA